TGAAAGAGAAAAATTCGACTTTGAAATTTTCGATATTATTTTCAAGCAGAGTTCTAAGTCTGTTCAAGTTATCCAGCACGATAAGTTTATCAAAAAGTACGGTATTTCTTGCTCCAATTCATTTGAGTTTTGTTCTGTGTGCATTACAGCAATTAGTAATTTCAAATTTAAGTAATTCAGTAACTATGGCTTTTTACGAAATATTTTTTGCTAGTGCCGATTGTACACGATGTGTTGCTTTTTAAATTTTTCTAGCCAGAGTCTCGAACCCGAGTAATTCGACGCTTTCACAACCGCTCGGCATCATTACCCCGCGGAATGCATCGTCATTCTATTGCTTCAGAATTACGTCGTGGATCAACTGATTGCTGCTATATGCAGCAGAATCATACACCCTTTAAGGTTGTAATCAGTAATACAACTCTAAAATATGAAAATTTAAAAATTTAATTGCGAAAGCTAATCAGAAATGATTTAAAGTTTATTTTCAAAATTATTTATTTTATTGATGCTTGTTAATTAATATTTATATGGCATAACAAACAACTTTGAATCGAGTTGATTTTCCATATCCTTCACCCATGTACCTTCTACCACACTTTTAATTAAACTAGGAAAAGTATGATAATTTTGATAATATGATCAGGAAAATTTCACCAACTGTACATGCTGTTCATTTTTTGAATTAATTTTGTTCTGCCACTGCAATCATTAAAAGGCAGTTTCTAGTTTGATCTAGGAGGTTTTTGAGTTGGAATAAAATTTGAAAGAAACAAATTTGCAATTTGATAAAAACGGTTTTTGAGATATGAGAATCTTTGATAATTCTGTTGTTTTTGTTAGTTGTGTCAAAACAAAAATACTGAATTGCTATTGCTTTATAGGATGGAAAAGAACCGATACTTGACGCTAATCTAATGCGCAGTGTTGATAATCTTTATTTGAGCAAGCCAAATCACAGCTCACATCATAATGGAATGCGTTTTACCGCTGGACGTCGTCTACCAAACTTGCCAATAAACAACGCAATTTTAGACGGAAATTCACGGTAATCTGTTTTAGAAGTCAACTGAAATTAATCTTTTGGTTACAAAGTTAACTTTTAAAGTAAAGAAAGTATGAGAATTTGTTTTCTAAATTATTTTATACTGAAAACTGGAAAATTTTTGTGCAAAGTAAATTTTTTCATTGAATGCAAACAACTCTTGCAGATATGTTTTTTTCAATAATCTAAATTGTATTCGTATTTTCACTAATGTAAATTATATTCGTAATTTGAATATTCCTTTTCATCATATATGAGAGTGATGTTTTATGTGTAAATAGCTAGCTAATGACCTTAGGAAACAAGACTGTAGTAGTGAATTTCAGAAGGATGCACAAGTTGGTTACTGAAAACCGATCACAAAGTGTTGGACGAGTGCCCCGATTATCTGATTCAAGCTTGACTAACTCCTCTTTGGATCTATCATATCGTCCTTCTTCTTTTCAGTATTTATCTTCTTTTTTTGACTAAATAAGAATCATTCCTTTATTAATACCAACTTGTTATTTTGCATTTCAAATTTTTTTGCCATTATCGGCATAATATTTGTAAAAATTTTTCAGAGTACAGTCACCGGTAGTGAGAGCGCAATTGATCGCTTTAGATCACAGAGGCTTAAGAACTGTTCTAATTGAAAAACTTCAACCAGGCCCATTTGGTTTCTACATTGCGACTGGAGTATATAATCAAAAACGAGGTATTTTTCTTTTGCCATACCGTTAGTATAAAAGGTATCTTCTCAAGTACAGTTTGGTAATAAAAAATCTGGGAAAAAATTACATGTCCCACATGTTTCAGTTCAGAACATGCAAATTCTGGTCAGTTAATTTGTTTCTCTACAATGCAGTACTGAAAACTATGAAATAATGTTGCAAAAACTTTGAGCATATTCAAGCATAAACTGTCATCAAATTTTGCTACTTATTTTATTTGTACACCACACACTAATTTAGGAATTTATATCTCACGAGTATCATTACCTTCTTTGACCCCTATCTTGTCTGTGGGCGATGAAATTATTTACGTGGAAAATGAGTTGGTCAAAGGTGAGGACTTGGAATATGTGCAAGCATTGATTGCAGGCAAAAATTGCGTGAAAATAGTCGTGCTACCAACAGTAGCAACACCATCATGTTGAATTACTTTACTAAAAATATTCTATTAGTATATAATGTGTGGCATTTCTTACATATGCACTTGAAAGTAGTTATTGCTAAGTAATTCTGCTTGTATTTAAATATTAAATGATAACTTGATGATGGCTATTTATATTGTGCATGCAACATTATTCTTGCTCATATTTTATACCGCTGCTAGTTAAAAATGTCAGTTACTGCTAAAGTTTACTTCCACTGACTAAGCTAGTTAGTGGAGCTAGATTAGTTCCAATAAGTTCCAAATCAGTCCCACAACTAACTTTAACACACATTTGTGCTGATATACAGTTTGCTTACCTAAAAAGTCTTCACTATTAAACATCCAAATATTTCAGCATCAGGAAGAAATTTCAGAGCTAAATTTCTAAATGAACACAAACTTCCCATAATTTAACAATTTTCACTTGAACTGCTAAGTAAACTGATTTATTTACTGATTATACTCAATTTACAGTTCAACCACATTACGACTATTTTATTTCTAATCTTACAAAAATCCGCATGAAACTTAGCTTATTGCAAAGCCGCTGCTCATTGTTGTTTCCGTTATTCGCTTGTTTTATAAATGTTACTTCACTCTTCATCACTCGTAAACGATTCCTAACAAAATTTAGCAACATGAAAGTTCACGTTTTCTTGAACTCCCATGATGCCAAGTAAACTGGATGACAGAAATTCCAAACTTCCATTTTACTGACTATTTTTCCTTCTCATTTTGTTACACCAAAAACACACTCATTCAGTCGATAATTCATAAAATTTTAAGTTTTTCAATACTTCCAACTTCTTATATTCTAATTTGATCACAAGAAAGATTCTTAAATAATATGTAATACTAATATTGCTACTAATATACTTAAAAATAAAAAGTATAGCGATTTTTTTGTATTTTGTAATCGCATTTTCTGCCTTTTTTGATCATACGGTCACAATATGTTTACAAAAACATTACCAGAAATGATTTTTAAATATCATGTAATCAAAATCTGTTGCGTTTGAGTCAACAAATACAACTAAATTCCTACAACCAAAAATTATGCAAAGAG